GGAGCTGGAGAATGGACGGTGGACGAGGTGGCAGTGGTGAGGCAGAATGGCTCACCACACTGCACCTTTCTACAGATGCAGAGATGGCGGAGAATGATCCAGGATTCCTTCAGTGGAGAAACCAGTTTGTGCAGCGGAGACCAAAGTGTGAGTGACCAGGATTCCAGGAATGACAGGGCAGGTTCAAATTGAAGCAGTTACAGAGTGAGGGTTACACAGGATTCAGGCCAACAAAGCAAACTGATCAAAACTGAGGAACACTAACAGAGAGTCATTTATGGTCCGGCGTCATCTCGTGGTTTGAAGGCAGCTTATATGGTGAGTAGAGGTGAAAAGATAAATTGAAACCATGCCCTGAAGACACTCAGGTAATCAGCAGATCTTCTGCACCTGTCCACACCTCACCAGGCTGCCACACACGCCCACCTAGGGAGAAGAGAGAGAAAACCCGCCAGTAGGCGGAGCCAGAGGTTGAGGCTCTGACAAGACCGTATAATTTAAAGTGCTGCTTCTTGTCAACAAACTGCTCAGTGGATCCAAACCAATATACAATGGTGTCTTTTACTTAACCAAACCTTTTCACTCCAGATCATTTGGCAACCAACTGCTCACAAGAGCAAACTAAACACATAGACACAGCATTTAGTTGCTGCTCTTAAAGTCAGTTTTATGTGCTGCACTGCCGTTGACTGAACTGTAAATGCTGAAGCATGTTGAAGTCCCATCCTGTGTTTATGGACATGGCCACAAGTATTTGTTGTAAAATACCTTGTTGGACCAATGCAAAACTTACAGCCGAGAGACTTTGCTGAACATCAGGGCAATGAACGTTGCTAAAATTGTGGCGCTCGGTTGTAATTTGGACATACTGCACCAACATGGAGTCCGATCAGACTACGTCAGCAGTTGCCCGAGAGAGAAGGAAGCACAAGTGTTACGAACGTAAACAAAGGAGGAAGAGAGCTGGGATCCATGGTACGCTAAAGGCTAACCCCTCCAGACCAACAGGATCGCCGCTCCTACTCTCCAATGTCAGCTCCCTCAACAACAAGCTGGACGAGCTACGTTTGCTGGGAGAAGAGCGCAGAGAGAGAAAAGACTGCTATGTGTTTGCTTTAACAGAAACATGGGTCCATGACAACATCCTAGACCGCCATACAGCTGGAGGGGACGACATTGTTCTGGGTGGACAGACAGGCAGCTAGCTCTGAACTTTTCCAGAGCCGCTGCAGGAGCAGGACACTGAACATTGTCAGGGACTCCTCACACCCTCTCCATAAAGTGTTTGAACTGCTGCCATCAGGCAAATGTTTATGGAGCACTGAAGGAATGAACCTCCAGGCTGATCAATAGCTTCAACAGCTTCATTCCACAAGCTGTCAGAATGCTGAACTGCTGATCCAGATATGCAAACACGTATTTATTTAATTGCTTTTAGTCTTTGGATCCTGAAGAAACACTCTCTCATCTTGTTTGTACTACTGTTGTATGTACAGCAAAATGACAGTAAACTTGATTTGATGTGATGCCATGTTCTTAATAAAAAAGTCTTGAAATTCAAAGTTTTTTTTGTCATGCAAGCTCACATAACTTCGAGTTCTTAGAAAACAAAACAAAGAAGCTGTGAAAATAATTTTAAAAAATTGAATTGAAACTGAACTGCATTTAAATTCATTGTGGTCTCGTCTTTCAGTGTTTCAAGTCCCCTTTTAGAGAGGTGCCAAGTAAATATCCCAAGTGCTTATGTCATGTAAAATGTAAATGTGTCATTTTGATCAAAATCAAACTTTTGGAAGATTTTGCCTGACGTAAACCACATGAGTTGTGTGAGTCAGTAGGATAACTACATTAATATTGTGTGTATGACTGCCAGAATGTAGAATACAGAGAGACGTCCACTGTTTTCCGGTTCTAAGTTCAATAAACCAACCGTAGAGTGTCAACACATTGTTATTTGTCAATGATAAATAATATTTATCACCAAGGGCAGAAAAGGCTGATATACAGCATGTGGAATCTGCAGTACCACTAGGATGATTTTTAATTTTGTTTGTGTTCAGTTGTTACTAATTAATAAATTAACTAATAAATTGTTGAGTTTAACTAAAGCTTTTATGAACTGATTACTTCAAAGTAGCATGTATATGTATTGAGACTGGAAATGTAACTATAAAGGATGGTCTATCATACTGGCAACAGACAAATCAACAGCAATAAGAAAATTGCTTGATAGTGTATTCTATAGTTTCACCTAAATGCATCAGATGCAAACATAAAAAAAAAAAAAATGCAGAGTGAAGGTACATGAACGATCCCCTCTCAGATCTTGATAATGGAGCCCCTTCACTGTCCTCCTGTAGGTGCTGCACCCTGGTAGATGCTGTGACTGGCAGGTACTTATGTATACCCATGATCCTGCATTCCCCACCACCTCTACTTAAATTATACACACCCAGTGGAGTGTCTCAAGGACTGAAGCTATATATGTTGGAAAGCACATGGAGGCTGTTGCGTGTCCCTGTCTGGTGATACCAGGATAGCCTTGAGGAAACTTAACCTCCCTGGAGTACAGTGGTTTTACACTAGTCATCCTCTGTGTGCCTTGGGTTTTGCTTGCTGTTCGTATTGTATATGTATCAAGCTGAGATCATTTCTTGTTCCTCAGATTGGAACTAGTTTTCCCTTAATCCATCTCAAGCCCTCTTATGTCATAAGAGCAACTGCTTTTACCTGTTCCACAATTGAGGCTGGTGGGTAAGGGAGATTAGAGATGCGCCGATCCGATACTGGGTATTGGTATCGGGCCGATACTGGACGAAATTACGGTATCGGATGATTTACTTCACAGTGGTAACTGGCCGATCCGATACCGCCACACACACACAATCCTGCCTTCCGACACATCCACGTGTTCGTCTGCTCATTGGCTACAAGTTTACAGCTTCAGAGAGTGTCTGCAACCCGACTGGTCGAATCTACAAGGGTGGGACTTGTGCATACCGGGTTGACTGTCTGAGACACTCCATTGGCTCTTCAGGCTGTCACTCACCACCAAAGCCCTCCTATTGGCCAACCTAGATGTCAATCAAAACCTGAGACGTCCGTCTAGCTGACTGTAGCGCTTTCAGCGCGATCTATAATAGATTCAGCCTGATTTTGCCAGAAGAAATGAATAAAACAGCCGGAGCTGATCTCAAGCTGGGAAGACATTACTGCAGAGTTTGTGCCTTTGAGGATCTAATACGTTTTACGGACCGAATTATTTTACGGGATGATGTTGACTGGTTGTGTCCGGACAGAATGAGACCAAGCTGGTGAGGAATGAGCGATGTGTGAGCTGCAGAGAGCCTTCAAAAGTATGAAAACTCGGATTTTAACATTTTGCTTTTCTGTACAAAAAGCTCTTTGTGTCAATGCTGTGGTTGCTGCAGGTCAAAAAGGTTTATATCATCGGAAAGAGGAGACTCTGAGCTTTCATTTGATGTGTATATTGTCGGGAAACGTGATTGTGGAGCATGCGCACATCTGGCTGTAATGTTTTTGGAAAGTTGTCACGTCCCGCCGGCGGGCCGTGGGAGCGGTAAGGGGTTTAAAATATTCTTCTTAAATATTATTTTTTTTAAAAATTGGAAGTATATTTTGAGTGAAATCACCCTTTAAAACTACGTCACGCACCCGAACTAGAAGCCGTGCACTTCTACGGCCGTAGAAGATGAGTCCAGCCTCTACCAGCAGCCTGTACATGGGTCCCCGGCTCTGCAGACAGACCCTTCCTATTGGATCCCATCCCGCAGCACGTCACAACGTTTCCGGCCTCATTTACTACTGCTCATGCGCAGAGCCGAGAGCGGCTATTAGTGGTAGTATTATTTAACACCAAGTTTTGGTAATTGAACCTTTAAATTGCAGCTTAATGTTGCTGTGTCATTTTGATCTGTTCTAAATATGTGAATGGCTCTGAGTGCACACTGTAGTCTGATTGCAGCTCAAATAAAGCAGCTACAGTTTCACTCTGAGACATGCTTTTGGCTGTTTTTTCCTTTCTTAGAAAAGCAAAGTCTATGCTTTAATAGTATGAGGCTTTTGATAAAGCCATCTTAAACAAATGTATCCATGCAAATAAGGTATTTCCAAAGAAGTTTAGGAGGAGAGATGGTATCAGTATCGGGATCGGTATCAGCAGATACTCAAAGTTGAAGTATCGGTATCGGTATCGGAAATCAAAAAGAAGTATCAGTCCATCCCTAAGGGAGATCAAGCCTTTGCAGTAGAAGCCCCAAAGCATCACAACAGTCGTCCACTTTAAATCAAATGTTCGTCCTTCGGTGATATTTTCAAGAAAGGCCTCAAGACATACATGTTTTTAATTGCGTTTTGATGCTCATATATACTTATTATACTTATTAGTATTTGAATTTTTTCCTGAAGATAGTCTGAAAATCTGTTCCTGACTGTGCAGTTGACTATGACCAACCATCTGCTACACACGTCAACCACTCTTAACTACTTATTCTTGTGTCTCCAGATGTTTTGTGTTATTTATTTATCTTTTTATTATTTATTTGATTTGATTTGGTGTACTGAGCTGCAAGGTGGCACAGTTGGTAGCACTGTTGCCTCGCAGCAAGGTCACTGGTTCGTGTGCCGATGGGGGCACTGGGATCTTTCTGCGTGGAGTTTGCATGTTCTCTGCAGCGTGGGTTTTCACTGCGTTCTCCGGCTTCTTTCCACAAGTCCAAAAACATGTTGAGGTTAATTGGTGATTCTAAATTGTCCATAGGTGTGAATGTGAGTGTGCTTGATTGTCTGTCTCTAAGTGTAGCCCTGCGATAGATTGGCGACCTGTCCAGGGTGTCCCCTGCCTTCACCCTAAATCAGCTGGGATAGGCTCCAGCCCCCCCGTGACCCTAGTGAGGATTAAGCGGTGTATAGATAATGGATGGAGGGATTTGGTATACTTTTAAAATGTGTTTTAGTCATGCTTGTTTTGTCTTTTTCAGGAGAGCCATACAAGTTTGATCCTTCCTTCAGTGGTCCAGTCTGCAGAAGGTAACTTCATACTTCCTCCTTTGCATATAGATGTTCTTTAATCTATATTTCCTAAATATTCTGTAGTCTACACTGAGCAAATTAATTTGAAAAGTAAGTCATCAGTGTTATTTTCAGGATGTTTTTTTTAGAGGCTCACACCCAAACAAATACTGAAAAACAGTGAAATCCCTTCTTTCTGGTTCAGACAGGACACTTTGTCAGATTTTAACCATTTATTTGGGATCACATACATTGAGTTTGGCAGTGACTCTGCTCGTGATGCTCTGGAACAATCTGAGCAAGCATGACACAGATAATCCCTGAGATCACAAACCCCCACAGAGCCATGAATTTACAATTTACAATTTTTCAAATACGGTATGAACATGAGAACAGGAGACCAACTAAATAGTCTTCGCTTACAGAATCTAGATTACATAGTTCAAGGTACAATAATCAACCATCTGCAACCTACAGTCCCACGATATGGGAAACACCGGGGTTATATGATTGAACTGATTTTAAAAGATGGTGGTTGGGGAGGAGGGGGAGATTTGACGATCTGCAGAGGCTGGAGTAGCAGTGATGTGGTGAGCGGGAAGCGGGCAGAATGAATGAACGCTGCCTCAGTTATAAAGCACACTAAGTGGGTGGGCTGGACTTTAGCGATGACTAGTGGACAGGAGGGGCCATGTGACACCCTGACTCCATGCCTGTCTGAACTAACGCAAAGCTTTATTTCTCTTTTCATTTACTCAAATAAAAAAAAAAAAAAATTGAATTGCTGTCAATACCTTTGCAGTCATACAATCTGTCCTCAGATAAGTCTATCTAATTAAAACTGTACTCATGCTCTCTGTCATCTGTATCTTGTATTCTAATACAGACCATCAAAACAGCTGATCTCATTTATCTATTTATCTTTTCATCATAAACGCTAGAAAATTGTATAGTGTCTCATACAATGATCACATTTATTCAGGTGTCAAATACATTGGTTCATTATGTGCTAACAAAAGATTACTGAACCTTGGGTACAGGGCTTGTATAGATAGTTTTGTGATGTGTTGTTCATATGAACAACAATGTGTTGACTTACTGTAGATTCTGAAGTGAAGTTGAACGGTGATGCCTTACTTTGCTGACTTACAAACTAGTCAGTTTGTTTTGTTTTGTTTTGGGTTTTTTTTTCCATTTTTCAAGTAGAGCATATTTGAACTTCTGAAAATCTGTTCCTACTGCAGTCGACTGTGGACCATCATTGACCTGTGCCACTCAAAACTACTTTACCCTTGTCACTCCAGGTCACTCCACTACTAGGACACAGGTTAAAATCTGATAATAGTTCAGAGGCCAAAATATGGGGCTGAATTGTGCTAAAAGCAGAAGTAAAATCTATCCAGTTCTTACATGTGTACATTTTAATCAATATTTTACCATTGAACCCAAAAACATATCTTTACTGACATCTTGTTGAAAGTTGCAGGTTTGTTGCTGTTTTGCCAGAAACTTTACAATATTTAAATGAAGTGTGCGGTTTTGCTGTTACAAAATGGGAAAATGGTCTCAATTCCAGAGCAGCTGAGAACCTTCTCTTTCTAAGCTCCACTAGTTTAACTTCTCACCTTGCTGCAGTAATGTACAAGTGTGCTTCAGAATGCCACATTTACAGTCAACATCACCTTAGCTGTAACCAAGTCATGCCCAGGACTATCATGGTTTGGGGTTTTGATTTCTAGTTTGGTTTCTTGATCCCCTCCTGTGTGTGCTTATTCTGCCCTCTCTGTTTAACTCAAACACGGCTATGCAGATAGATAGACTCCTTGACAACTGACAGGTGTAATGCCTTCTTTAATGACGTGGCCTTCAATCATCAATAGAGTAAAACTACAAATAAACCAAAACCGAGGAACTAATGAGAGTGGCAAAAGAGTGGCAAATTGAAACCAAAGTGGCTTGTTGTGTTAGCGACAATGCAGCTAACATAGTAAAAACAATTAAAACATTGAAATGGACCCACCACCCATGTCTGGCTCACACCATCAACTTGATGGTCAGAGATGCACTGAAGATCTTGAAGCCGACTCTGGACAAAGTGAAGGTAATTGTGGAATACTTCCACAAGAGCACAGTAGCCTCTGAGAAGCTAAAATCTACTCAAGAGGCAAATGAGTATGCCAGAACTGAAACTCAAGCAAGACTGCGTCACACGTTGGAATTCAACTTTCCACATGCTGAAACGGATTCTGGAGTTGAAAGATGCTGTCATCTCTGCACTGGCCATTCTCAATGCACCTGTAGATGCTCTGACCCAGGACAAATGGAAGGCTAGTATTAAACATGAATAAACTGAGCAAACTCCACATACCATATAATGAAACAAAGCATATTTTTTCTGTTCTCTCTTTGTTCAGCTATGTTGCAGCCTCCAAAATGCTACTCTTGTGCAGGGGTCTGCAGAAGAAGCATCACAGTTTAACAGCAGACACAAGTTACCACGGAGAAAGTGGGAGAGTTGGTGACTGCTCTCTGTGCATCCATGGACAGAAAATTCCACAGAATGGAATATAACACTATTCTCTCTGAAACAACAGTGCTTGACCCAAGGTTTAAAAAGCTGGCCTTTAATGACAACAGAGCTCTTGATGAGGCACTTCAGAGAGTAACAGCAGCAGCAGCAAGATGCACCCCCAGCAGCCAGCCAGCTCAACCATCAGGAGGCCAAGAGGGAGAAGAGGGGGCAAGGGCACCAGAAGAGAAGCAACAAACATCTGCTGTTTGGAGGCTCTTTGATCCAAGAGCCATAGAGGACACGACTACTAGAAGAAATCCCTTAGCAGATGCTATGCTTGAAGTCAGGTCCTATCTTGATGAGCCCCTCATGCAAAGATCTGCAGACCCGCTGAGCTGGTGGGAGTCCAAGGCTTCAGTCTACCCACGACAAGCCAAGGTAAAGGCAGGGCGACTGTGCATTGTGGCAACATCAGTGCCCTCTGAAAGGATCCTTTCAAAAATGGGAGAATAATAACCGAGAGGAGAAACAGGATCAGCCCCGCAAAGCTGAGGCACTTCGTGTTCCGAAATGCCAATCTGCCCTGAAAAAATAATGAAAAGATGAAGCTAGATAGATGGTGGTCAGTTCATGGACACCTTAAACTGTTGAATGTTACTGTTTTGCTCATTGCAATATATTTAATTTTGTTATATACATACATATATATGTATATATATATATAGTTCTTAGTCAGGCAATTTTGGTTTTGCTGCTATTTTGTTCATTGTAATACAGCTGTTTCTTTTTATGTTATTTGTTCTATTATTTATGCTATTTTTATGTTATTTCATATTTATTTGTGTTTAAATAAACATTGAAAATCTCAATAACTGTCCTTTTTATTTCTATGCCTAAGTTTTTAAAGCTGTTTCTATCTGCTTTGTGTAGCAGAGGGGTTCTACAAGCAAGTCAGTGTGTTCATTGGGTGGTTTCAGAGAGTATCAAGGGTCTGTAAATGCAATGAAAACAAGTGGCTACAGCAATTTACTGATATTAGAAAATGTAATTTTTACTTGTGAATACTTTAGTATAAAGGATGTACTGAACTATTTAAGAGGTATGTGTACACCTATGTATATATAACAATGCTAAATGCTACATAGCCTCCAGACCATATCATAACAACGTATCTGCCCAAGTCGCAGCGAAATTTTTTCAGGCAGCAGCGTAGAGGGCCGTTACTCTGTTATAACACTGGCGAGAACCCTGCAGTCCATCATCTACATACAACCTAATCCGTTCTTACGTGTGCAGCATTACCAACCAGCTGGTAGTCATGCTTTCACATCCCAGCAGATATTGTGTGTTGCGCTGCGTTTCTTTGCAAATGGAAGTTTTTTGTACAATGTCGGAGATTCAGAGCACCTGAGTAAGGCTATTGTATGCCAGGCGGTCAGAAAAGTGTGCCTCGCTTTGAAATGGCTTTTACCATCTTTGTCGTTTTCCCTGAACATAAACCTGTCAGAGCCATCAAGGAGGAGCTCCACAGGACTGCAGGTGAATGATGTATAAATCTGTTAAATTAATTTTAAATCATATTCTGTTAATGACATTGTGTTGCAACCTCGGACTTGAACAATGTTTTTATATTTCATCTTAAGCTACTGCCAAGTGCGCTTCTCCCCCGCAGGATTGCACCTAAATGAAATAAAATAATAAGCTACCATTCAACCAGTTTTTCCTGTAATATTATTGTGATTGCAAAGGATGACATTTAAACTTAGGCATTGACCTGAACATCAATGTTCTCCATGCCGTCTCCCTATGTGTTGCAGCTGCAGCGGTGTTGCACTTTTTTAAAAACGTGTTAATAGTCGCTGTATGAGCGCATTAAGATTTCCAATGGCCATTACCGTTGCCATGATGACTCGTCGAATCGGGGCTCCATTGATGTTGGCTTTTTATGGTTGTGGTGCACACGCTTAACTGCAGGTGAAACTACTCCGAGTTTCCTATCTCAGAGTAGATCAACTCAGAGTTCAGGATTAGACTCAGAGTTTGTTAAACCTGCTTTGTGAAAACGACCCCTGGAGGTCTCTGCACCATAGACTGTATAAAACAAATATCATCAATGTAACATATATTTAGTTATTGTGATAGACTATAGTTTTTCTCTGGATTGAAAGAGCAAACTGCAAAGTAATTAGAAAGTAATGTTGACACGTAGGCCTAAACATTGTGGAGTTTTTAGTGGAGTAAAAATATGAAGTAGCATTAAAACATAGCATAAATACAAAGAACAACAAGAACAAAACACCTTACAGGGCTTTGACTTCAAAAAAGGTACTCCTTATTATACAGTATTTGTTTGCATTCTATTGTTATTTGAACAGCGGAGTATTTACTCATGAACCAGGTGAAGAAACCCGTTGTATTATTTTATTATTTATTCATTTAATTTTGTCACTGTTCACTGAAATTGCTGGTTTCAATAACATTACTTGTAACATGTTATATTTGGCTTTGACTTTCACTGTACATTCGCTCTTATTTGCGGAAAAAATATTGGGATATATATCGTATATCGATATTCAGTCTAAATATATCAGGATATGACTTTTGGTCCATATCGCCCAGTCCTAGCATCATAGTGTGCATGTACATAAACTAAATAGTCCTAAACATAAATTATGGTTGACATGTAGCTAAACATTCTCTCTGGGTTCTCCGGCTTCCTCCCACACAGTCCAAAAACATGTTGAGGTTAATTGGTGATTCTAAATTGTCCGTAGGTGTGAATGTGAGTGTGCTTGGTTGTCTGTCTCTAAGTGTAGCACTGTGATAGACTGGTGACCTGTCCAGGGTGTCCCCTGCCTTCACCCTAAGTCAGCTGGGATAGACTCCAGCCCCCCTGCGACCCTAGTGAGGATTAAGCAGTGTATAGATAATGGCTGGATGGATGGATGGATGGATGGATGTAGCTAAACATGCATAAACTTAACGTGCTATAAACATAAACTTAAATCATTTGAAATATAGCCTTAAAGGACTCTTACAAACATACAGTACTTACAAACAATGCTCACTGTGAACCAACAAAGAAAGAAGATGTGGATTGCATCAGCAAACAACTGGGCTCCTGTGTCTGTCAGCCACTACTCAATGTGTTTTCATCTAACTCTACTGCACTCAATAGGAAACATAACAGACACAAGATACTACAGCACCTCCTGCTGGTGGGGAAGACACTATGCCAGCACAGTGTTCCTTTGTTCCTTTTGTTTGTTTGTTCCTTGTGTATATATATAGTCCTGCAGTTTCCCTTGTCAGTTGCCAGGTTGTCTGTCCACTTACCTCTTCTTTACCTGCCTGTCTTATCTGTCTGAATTCTCTCTGTGTTCCTTGTCAGCTTCCGGTTTGTGCTATTAGTTTTTTAAAATCTTTTTCTATTGTGTTGATTCTTGCTTCAGTATGTTCTCATGCTTTGTGTGTGTATCTATATCTATATCCCAGTATCTTACCGAATAAAAGGGAGACACCGATTAGTCAGTGCACCACAGGTGTGTCACTGAACTTGCCCTTGCCCTGCTACCTGCCCCACCTCTGACCTTCATCTGAGTAAAAACCACACCACACTGCCACACTGTTTTGAACACACTGTTCTAAACAAACTGATACCATGTCAAAAAAGTTGCTGGTGTGGCTGCTTTTTCTTCAGACAGATTGCTAAAAAGTTTAATGTACACTTTTCAAACAGCTATTTTCATACCACTGCTCAACCACCAGTATAGTATATCACTTAACAGTGGTAGGCTAACTTTTCTGCATCGTATTCCTTAATAGCTCTTGTGCTAGGACCACCAATGATATAGGTCTGTTTTCAGATATCACTTAAATATGGGCATGTGCACTCTGGTCCCTTTCAAGATTGTTGTCATCATTTCATTATGACATAACCAGGTTCAATTGATGTGATATGCTGCAAATACTAGCTTTTTATCGTTCTTCACAATTCATTAAAACGAATAAAGCTATCAGGTAGAGTGTACTGTGGCTGGCTTAATTGATTTACTGTTAACATGCAGATGTCCCCCCCCTTTCGTCTCTTGATTGAAACGTAGATATAATGACCAAGAATTTTATTTGGCTGACTACAGCCCTATTCTGTACACGTGAAATATGCTGTAAACAACTCACATCTAGACAGAATAGTAATCATGGAGCCAAAAGACAAGTATTTACATTTTTCTAACTTGAGTCTGTGACTTGTTTCTTATCTGTCCCTTTAGGAGCTGCACTGATGTCTTGTACTGTTTGATCTTCATCCTTGTCATTCTCTTATATGTTGCCCTCGGGATAGTTGGTGAGTCTGTACACACACACACACACACACACACACACACACACACACACACACACACACACACACACACAGTAGATTGTGCTCTGATGCTGTTGTGGCTCCTCTAGAGCTTGACAAAACATTTGAGTTTTGATCGAAATTCACCACGCTGTCACAGGCACACCCTTTGACATAAACACACAATTTTCACCGTAAGTCATAATCAACATGTGAAGGCCTATTTCACCAAATTTGACATTAATATGATCAATGGTGTGACAGTACTACATAAAAGTGTCATTTCCTGTTGCCAGCAGGTGGCGCTATGACTGTGAATGGATATTGGCATAAACCACAAAACAAGACAATTTTAATTAAACGGATCAATCTCCCGATCCTGTAAAAAGAAATGGACGAGCTCCCAAATATGTTACGGCCCCGTGAGCTAGGGGATGAGGGGAGTAACAAGAGTAAAACAAAAACCGGATTAAAGGGACCAGGAAACTGTTCAACAAAGTCAGGTTTATTTTGCAAACAGACGATAACAAGAATGCAAATTAGAGCGAGCTTCCTGAAAATGAAGCCGAGCCTACGATTAACAAACAACACAACGACCATGGAGCCCCTACACGTGTAGGGTTTTGCTGGATCCAATACCACAAACACCACACAGCTCTGTCTGCCGATCTGGCCCACTGGCCAAGATGATCAGGTTGGCTCAGCTCTTTAACCGTCTCGTAATGAGTGCAGAGCAGCTGCATCTGGTCACTCGTTCTGGGCATCACCTGAAAGGGAACTACATAAACGACACCCCAATACTTGGCACCAAGGGCTGTAACATCTTAATAAATGATGTCTCTTATGATTCTGACATTTAGCAAATACAAATAGTTTTGGTAATCCTGACCTAAAACAGGAAAAGTTTAGTATGATTTAATGTCAGATAGTGAGGGGGAAAAAAAGTTTTTTTTGCCTTTTATAAAGTGTATATTAACTTCTGGTTTCAACTGTATATACACATTTGAATGTATGCACACATCACAAAGACAGATGGTTTGTGATCAGGTCCTTAGGAATATTGTATGTTTGGAAACAAGTAAAATTTATTAATCATTCATCACACAGTGCTTACTTTACTGGGTAGCTGGGTGAAAAATGTACTGCATGCAGTCTACTTGCTTTATGTTTTAATGTTAAATGATCTGTCTTGTCTGCCTCCCTATCTGTCTGTCTGTTCAGCCTGGTTACATGGGGATCCCAGGAAAGTGATTCATCCAACAGACAGTTATGGCCAGTTCTGTGGTCAAAAAGGAACTTCCAATGCGTAAGTCACTATTAATATACTCAACAGACCCTACAGGAGAGTTGTTCTGGCATCCAGAGTAGTTGAAACAACATGTAGGTGTTCAGAACACAAATTTTTATTGTATTATTTGGATTAATTAACTGAACAGTTACATATACAGTAAGCCATGTCGAAATGCAGATGCTACAACCCCTCTTTGCTGGAGGGGTTGTGTTGCCCTACATTTCTCTTTAAACAATATGCCACCATATTATGCACGTGTAGGAGAACTGAGCAGGATGTTCCGATATGGTGTTTGGTGGTGGTGGTGGTGGTGCTGGGGACAGACTGTGTGATTAGTGATGTGAAGGTCTTTGTAGCCAAGCAGAACTGACAAAACTGTCACTGTATGAGTTTGAACCCACGCACAGACACGAATTGTGACAATGATGAGACCAAGGTGAAAACAGTGTTTATTTACAATGATGAACGTACTAGGTGAAAAAAGGGTGCAGGAGTCAAAACCTGTGTCACCACTCTAGATGGGAGGAGCTAGGAGACAGGGCCAGGAAAATGCTAAGTACATAGAACTACACATGGGACATGAGATATACGATAGAAGACAGAGGAGCTAGGAGATAGGCCTGGAGAAATGTTAACCCCAAATAAAAAGGGAAGTCCAGGAGAGTGGTAAGGATAAAGCTAATTATAATAATAATAAAACTGAGAAGCTGACAGAACAGCAAACACAAGACAGACAGAAACCCAGATTATAGACTAGGGAATTTCACTGGCAGAATGGGATAGGAAAGAGGCAGGTAGGAGTCTGTGTGGAAGTGAGCATAGCATGTGAGAGGAAGGAGGAATCCAATAGTGTATTAGAGTGTAGGGGCAAGCAGGTGAACCTGATGGCTTTGTTCCCATCCAAAGATCTTGAGCAGATGAGGAAAATGCAGCAGAATCTGATCTGTAGACACTGCTGGGGATCTTTTTAAGGAAAGTAGCAGAGGTGACAACAACGTTTGTCTAGAACAGGTGTTTTATAGGGTGGAGTGCTGATTGGTGGCACATGAGCCAGCTCCTGCGCAGGTGTCCCCACTTGTTGCTGATTAGGCAGCAGTTCGGTCAAACACACAGATCTCCCTCTTGTGAGGAACAGGAGGAGGAGAAAGTTCAGTAAATCAGGGGCTGGGGCAGGGATCCTGGCAGCTACATTGGGTTGTCCCCACACCAGAACATCCTACTCTCTTCTTCTACACACAGGCTCTGTTCTAAAATGACATTGTACTATTTGAGTAAATTTTCATCTTGTAGTCTTGTAGGCATGCATTGTTTTAGACATAGCCTAATGTTTCAGTTAGGCCTAAGACCACACTGAATATATAGCATGTTTATGTCACAGAAAATCAAAGACCCAAGCACAGGCAGAAATCATAACAGACTGAAGTTATGAAATGAATATGCAAGGACTGATGGATGGAGAACAATGAATGGGAAAGGGATCACAATAGGGGACTGCATGGCTAGTGACTGTACTGAAGCAATGGAGGAATAATACAAACAGGGAGCTACAGTGACCACTTGAAGGAGCTGGGGGAACTAGGCTAATCAAGAAGGGTAGCACAAGGGCTGGTCCGAATAGCAATTCCTGGGCTCCGGATATTCGGGCCCTTTTAGCAAACTCACCTGACCTGAACCCCACGGAGCCCTATGTGGGATATTGTGGGATATTCTTCTAAATGCCCTTGTTTTATAAAACGCCTTAAAATATTTCACTTTATGTGTAATGAATGTAGTATATATGAAAGTTTACATTTTAGGATTAAATTCGGAAAAAGAGCAACTTTTTACAATGTTTGAATTTTTTGAGATGCACTAGTATTTTTGAACCTTGCCCTGATCTTTTCCTTTCACACATTTAATATCAGACATCTACAGAGAATTCCCTGGACTTGATAGCATTTAGCAGTTTGTTTCCTGATATCTATTGTAAATTATGGGACCTTACATGGACAGGTGTGTTTCTTTCAGTTTGTCACAGGTGGATTCTATTCAGGTTCTAGACAAGGGATGTCAAAATTCATTTTCATCCCGGGCCACAAAAGCATTATGTTTGCCCTCAACGGTCTTAATTGTAAGACTGTATAAATGTAACGACTCTTTAACATATTGTGAAATTATTGTCTCTGCATTTGATGAGTATTTATTCTATGTAAAAACATTGTGCATGCCTTTACCTAAAAGTAAAATACATGTAGCAGAGCTCCAGAATAACTTTTCCAACAGTAACACTGGAACTACCAACTTTATTGGTTGGTTGCACCAGCTCATGATTTGGTCACTCCACGCCCTTATGTTGGTTCAGCATTGCCACAGCTATCAGTGCACCATGCATGCTGATGAATAGCTTTTTTTTGCATAACTTAGTTATGTCGCATTGACTTTCAGTGATACAAGACTTGATACTTGTAAAATATTTTAACTTGAAAATATATTTGTTTTGTCGTCAGTCTTTTTCTGATATCACTCATTCACTGGACATATGCTACATTTTACAGATGCTCCCTAAACACCTCACATGCTACTCCGGTAGACGCTAACAGGCAGCTGCAGTGCAGCTCCTCTCAGGTGTTCTGCACAAATTTGCCCAACTTGAAAAGTTTTCTACAAGTAGAGGCTTTTTTTGTATTTTTTTATGAATGGACTTTTCTACGAGCTGAGCGCATTTTGAATGCCCATACCACTGGTGATCATGTATATATTGTCAAAAGATCTGTCTGCCTGCACCTGAACACTTTTATCATCAGGTGTGTCGGATCTCTCCCTCTCTCACCTCACTGTGTGTGTGTGTGTGTGTGTGTGTGTGTGTGTGTGTGTGTTTCACATAATCTGCTATATATCGTTTTGTCACTGGAACACAGCAACAGTGAAGCTGACTGTTTTACCCATCAGTCAGAGAGAGAATGAGCCAATGTGGAAAAATATTACTATTTCCAACCACAACATCTTGTGCAGTAGCTACCTGTGCCGACAAAAGGAACCAGATCAGCCTGATGATCATCATTCATTCACATTCACATTCATTCACATCAAAAATGGTCGCATACGAGACCATTTTGGTCACAGTCTGGAGCCATATGTAGGCACATTGCTGTGTTATTATAACATAAGTTATAACATTGTATTACATTATGTTATGTTAACACGTCTCTCGCCAGCCACAGAAAATAATTTGGTAGGCCGTATTCGGTGTGCAGGCCTTGAGTTTGACACGCGTTCTCGACCATCTCGAGGATAATTTTTTGCAACACAGATGCACCACCACACAATTTGGGGTAGCAAAGTGTCTGAATTCTTTTGTAAATGCTAGAATTTCAGTTAGCTGCAATTTAAACTGAAGACTACCTGTCTTTTTGTCATTTTAAATTTTTTTAAAAAAGACAACACAATAAAGTGTATAACAAGGGCCTGAATACTTGGTTACTTACCCCTCTTTTCTACAATCAATACAGCAACAAGCTTCATTATCTTGATCTTGTTTTTCTTGATGAAAATGTCTTTGTTGGTTTGATCAAAATAAGATCTAATGAAAACAAAAGGCTTTCCACTCTTGGCTGAAAACTGTTTTACTCTCTGTGTCATTCACATGGATCAGTTACTGTCCCTAATCACTTTTTGTATTTAGGGACACCTTATTTTATATTCAGGCCTTACAGGTACAGTATGTGCTTTCACCAGTCTTTCATATAAACCAACAATATACTCTGGAGCATGAACTCTGGAAGATGTTTGAAACATAAAAAAAGAAGTTGGGGGCTAGATAAGTGTACTATGACAATATTTTACCACAAAATTATTACTAATTTGTTGATCATCATAAATTGAGCTTAACAATAGCATTTTGTTTTTTGCAGGAGAAAACCCATCCTATTCTATTTCAACATCCTAAAATGTACCAACCCGGCAGTACTCATCAACCTACAGTGTCCCACAACACAGGTACTCTATTAATTTTTTTAATATACCAATTTAGTATATCAATGCCTGGTACCACTAAAAGTACATTACCAAAGAATACAATGAACACAACAAAAAATGCAGCTGATTACATAATACTTTATGTCCTATTTGACATGCTTAAGCTTAATTGTATTTCCCAGGGTATATAAGAAGCACTTTCGTGTCATAAGCAGCACTGCACATACAAAGGCCGAGAGTGGTTTTCTGTTTACATTCAAGCCGTAGCACAACTCAGAAGTTGTCAGCTCTCACATAATGCCTATAACAAAAGAATTACCAGGCATTCACAAAGTGCAACTGCATGAGCAGTGCTTTGTCTTGTTGGAAAATCCAGTAATTTGAGCCATGAAAGAGTTTTCCAACTGATGGAAGAAGACTTTTTTCAAGATCAGCCCTGTACATGACCTGGTTCATTCCCCCTTCACACAATTGCATTTGCCCTGTTCCACACATACTGAAGCAACCCCAGATCATCACTGATCCACCCCAATATTTTACTGTAGGGGCAAGACAGTCTGGTTTGTAGGCTTCTCCAGGCTTCCTCCTAACCAGTAAGTTGGCTGGAGTGGGCATCAACTGAAAATTGGATTCATCACTGAAGAGAACCTCAGCCCAATCATCAACAGTTTAATCCTTGTCGACCCCAGCAAAGAGTAACTGGACTTTCCTCTGCCTTTCGTTGATGAAGGGCTTCTTCGTGCCCTGTGTGACTTCAGAACAGCTTCAAGAAGTCGGTTTTGAACTGTCCTTGCCGAACAAGTCACATTTCTCGACAGTGCCCAATCATTTTTCAGGCCCCTGGAGGTCTGATGCCGATTCCTGACACAGGAACGGATGAGGACACGGTCATCTTGTGGGGCAGAAAGACGTTTCCTGCCGTGACTTGCTAGAAATTTGGTAGTACCATATTCGGCTTGTTTTTTTCTTTGTGGAGTGAATGGCTGTCTTGGAGATCTTCAGTTTTTTCACTGCCTGTTTCTTACTTATGCCCTTTTCCAGCAGTGCCAAGATGGCTGCCTTTGAAGCTTCACATAATTTTTTTGTTTCAGATATTATGTGAGAGCTGACAACTTCTGAGTTGTGCTACGGCTTGAATATAAGCAGAAAACCACTCTAGGACTTTGCATGTACAGTGCTGCTTATGACATGAAATGGCCTCTTACATAACCTGGGAATACAATTAAGCTTAAGCATGTCAAATAGGACATAAAGTATTATGTAATCAGCTACACTTTTTGTTGTGTTCATTGTATTCTTAAGGTAATATATCTTTAGTGGTATCAGACATTAAAATGAACAAGAAATTGAAGAAAACAAGGGTGGTCTAAAAAAATTTTCCGTGACTGTATATTCAGACAGAGAGTTGCTGCCCTTTCTTTCAAATACTGTAAAACAATATTGCTTTTTTGTTTGTTTGTTGTTTTTTTTTAACTTAAGTATAATAAATGCACCAGACAAACTGCTCAGTGCTCTTTAACTTAGATAAAATTGACAGCAAAAAGTACTTTTTACTAATTGCAGCTTGATTTACAAGCTGAATGAGAATTTGGCTTGGCATTAATAAAGTGTCAGTGTGATCCATATGTCAATAATAGCAGCAAATATCTTCATGTAAGTAATTAGCTAACATAATGTCTGTGTTTATGTTTTTCCAGATGTGCGTGTCACAGTGCCCAGACAAGTTTGCCACCTACACTGAGATGCAGCTCCAACACAAACTCAGTAAAGATTACTGGGAATATTACAGACAGTTCTGTAAGCCGGGTTTTAATAACCCTGACAAGGTATCACTACAATCACACATGATATACATTTAGTACTTTGAAACATATACACACTGACCAGGAATTACTGATTGGTAAGCTGTTAAATAAAAGAAGTAATGTGTAGGTTGGCTTAGAGAACAGAAATACAATATTGTATTTCAACTCTGTAGCACATCTAAGGAGATCTAGTTTAAAATTTGAATAGACAAAATCTTAAAATACAACTGTGTTAACCAGGCTAGCTGAAATAACATAATTGTCAGTTATGATTGGTAGATCCAACGTTGCAGCCCCCTGATCCATGGGACGGTGGCTATAGAGTGACAACCAGCCAGACTCCCTATTGGCACTGGGTTGTCAGCACATTTCTCTTCCATCTCCTCCTCTCAGTAACCCCTCTATCATTGTGAGGTGTTTTGATCATGCTGGGGCTTTAGTGGGTATGATGAGAGCACTTTAATGTCTATCCATCAGTCTTGGTTGAAAACACTGGACAAGGGAGGAAAGGGATAGGTCAGCTAGAATCAGAATCAGTTTTATAGACAAGTAAGTTTTCATATACAAGAGTTTGACACTGTGCTTTAGTGCAAAACAGTAACATCTAGATTGATTTACCAGTACCAGATTTACCAGTAAGGCTTTATGATTCCCTACACAAACAATATTAGGGTCTTTTTTCTGGCACAGGGATGCCTGCTTCACTAGAGTCTATCCCCACTTCAACAATCGTGTGCTCTTATTTCTGGCGCCAATATGCCAGTGGGTCTCACCCTTGTCTTCCCATCCTAACAACCTTCTGCTCCCATTTTGTGTCACTGGGATGCCTCTATTTCTTTATTTCTTAGGTTGGTGGTGGGTCACAAGTTTCACAGTCTCAGGACTCTCAAAATTTTGCCTTATGCATTTTAATGTAAAATTTTAAGTTTAGTCTTGTGAATCCCATAATCTTTGGGTCATGGGTCTACAGTGCAATAAGGTCATTGCGAGGGAATTTCTGTAATCGCAAAGTATACCAGAGGACATAACCAGGTCACTGGGCTTTCTGTGGATTAGTATTGGCCCGGCAAGTGCCGAAGATAGAGGTGGCACAGAAAGCAGAAGTGAGGATGTCAGTCAAATTGCAAGTCTGAGGAAACAACTACACAAAGCTACCGAGCATCTTATACATGAATGCCAGATCCATAATCAACACAATGGACAAAATAAAACTACAAATCTCTATCCACAAACTCATACATACCTGATCAGAGAGGAAGAACAAATCCTTGACTCTTTGGTCACCATGGATGATGCTGTCACCACCACCACTGGTGCCAGAGAATTGGACTTGACTGTCCCTTGCCAAGATCATGCTGCTGCCCCGGCTGCAGAACACTGAACCTAGGTAGGAGCTATACCCAAGGCTCTGGTCAGCTCCACTCCCTGCCTGGGGGAGCTATGGACTGCTGCCTGCAAGGGTAGGCATAGTGGCAAACTCTTCAGTTGTCCCCTTCCATCTCAGACCCTCCAGCTGTCTAACAACTTTAACATCATGGACAAACAGGACTTCCCCCCACTGGATTGTCACCACATCCCTCCATTGTCTCCAGAGTCAGACAGCCCTTCACCACTGCCTTCACTCTCTGTGGCTGTGTCTGAGAGGCCTGGCATCCCCTCCTTATGACCCAGAGATGTGCAGGTCACCCCTCTGCTGTGGCCACGGCGCTGCCTGTAATTAGCTCTCTGGTTAAGTCCCCCCTCTCTTACCACACTGATTACTGAAGATTCCATAGTCTGAAACATTAAGTCCAGAATGGCTGCAATGTTCTGCTTCCGTGACGCCAAGGTTTTGGCCATCAGATCTTGGCTCTTTTAAGTGAGCATCCTTACACCAAGAATGTTGTTATTCACATTGGCACCAATGATACCACTAATCATCTGAAATACTGAAGAGGGATTTTAACCGTTTTTTTTTTTTTTTACACAACTAATGGACTGTAAGACATCTGTTTTTATTTCTCTACTAATCCCCTCTCTTGGCTGAGGAATAGGACGTTTTAGCAGGCTGCTGAGTCTATACACATGACCCAATTTAGAGTTCTCCTCATAAAATATACATTTTATCGCTAATTTTAATATTTAAAACACACAGTTTCTCAAAAGAGACAGCATTTACGGCAGTCCAAAGGTCGCCCGTGCACTAGTTGCAAACGTTCTTTGTTCCATCTCCACCACCAGACACACATGACAATCCATTTTCTACAGGACACCTGGACACACTGGTCACTGATCACAACTCTTCCTCATCACCTCTGACATCCTCCATCTCCCTCACTAGCTCCACCCAGTGATATATAATGCCATGTACTCCCAGTGCTGCTCCACAGGGTTTTAATATTCCTGTGGTAGTAATGCAGAGGGCTGTCAACCAATACATACACATCCTACATAGACATTTCAATAATCTACTGAAGATTAAGAGGAATGCCCCAAGTTTAGCTCCAAGCACCAATAAAGTTAAAATGATATTGTTCAATGTGAAATCTTTATCCCATAAGATCTCCATTTTAAATGATTTTATCTTGTCTACAAATTTAGATTTTATGGAATCCTGGTTGCACACAAATGATGACAGCCAACTTGTTGAACTGTGTTCTCCAGGCTCATGGCTATCAAATGTTTTAAAGTATCTTATTGTTAATTTTCTTCCTTTGAAGTTCTCAATTTTGAACCTGGCTGTCTGCATTCAATTTTGGTTATTATCTATCCCCCACCAAAACCAGTAAGCAGATTTTTAGCAGAATTCCTGGAATTTTTATCCACTCTTGTTTAAAATAATGGCAGAGTTGTTTTTTGTCGTAATTTAATATCCATGTTGGTGACTCCACTAATGCTCATGCTACTGAGCTTTTAAACATTGCTATCTCTTTTAACTTCAGTCAGCATGTCTGTGGACCAGTAAATAACCGGGATCATACTTGTTTTTGTCTGAAACCCAGTCAGTGCTTGGCATGGCCACCATTTGCCGCACACAGTGCAACACATCTCCTTCGCATAGAGTTGATCAGGTTGTTGATTGTAGCCTGTGGAATGTTGGTCCACTCCTCTTCAATGGTTGTGCGAAGTTGCTGGATATTAGCAGACACTGGAACACGCTGTTGTGAAGCGCCACTACTAAACAAAGCACAGCTCTTTTGAGCAAAGCTATCCCCTGAAGTCTGAGCTGAGGGCACGCAAAATAACCAAGCTGCAAGCCTTGTATGACAGATCTATCCGACTCATCATACATACATTTACAGCCCAGCAAATGGAACCTTTAATTTATGGTTTTCTGAGGATGTTGACATTTTTACTTGAAGCGGAGTCCTTCAGTTCTTTAGGCTGGGACCTTTTTTAATTTAAGCGATAAAAGGGTTATTCGGCTCTGTTTGCACTTTTTTAAATGTATTCTGAGGGTTTTGTTTTCTGTAGTCTGAAATAAAGGCCTCCATTTTTTTTATTTTTATTTTTTTGCCTGGGCCTACTTATATATATATGGTAAAAGAGCTACCTGTGCACTCAGTTAAACATATCCTGCACTGAAAATTGACAATAAGTATTGTTGAAACCATGAAAATGTGGCCATAGGGGAAGGCTATAAGACAAAACTGGACTTTGGTTCGGACCTTTTACTTGGAGGAAATTTTAATAACAGGACCTCAGTGACTTTTAATTGAATACCCCTGCTCTAGATACTTGTCTGAAGTACACAAACAATCTTAGTACACAGTAGAACAGAAACACCACAGAAAGCCCACCACTAAGTGTTTTCATGGTACAGTGACAGAAGAACAAAGACACATCATGTAACAAGTGGAAGGCTATGGCTAGGCTCTGCATAGATTCAAAGCAGCAGAATAAATCAAGCTTTAACCCAACTCTTATGTTTGTCCTTTTTCTTCCAGCCAGTATCTCAGATTCTGCGAGATGAAGACTGTCCCTCCATGATTGTACCAAGTAGACCATGTAAGCATGAGACACCTCTTTCCCTCAAAATGTTTGCTCACTCTTACCTTAACATTTAAAGAAAAATCAATTCAGTTTTATTTATATAGCACAGTTTACAACAGATGTCATCTCACAGCACTTGAACTATAATGCCCTCAAATTGAACATACTAAGAATTTGTCTATGTGTGTGCATGTATGTCAGTTCTCCGGAGATGTCTACCAGACTTCATCACTTTGAATGGGACTGTGACTGTATCAAACAAAACCAGGTTTAAAGATGCTCTGGAAATGCCCCGCAGTGTTACTGAACTCCAACATGCTGCTAAGTACCAGAACTTCTTCTTTTAAGTACTTTTAGAATTTCTGTCTTGTTCACTTGCCAAAGGTCACTCAACAGCACTAACAAACTGACTGCACTTTATTTAAGGCAGAAAGGGCAGGGCAGAATCCGCATTGCTCATCCTGAATCCAAGGTTTGAAAATCAGTCGGAGCGTCCCTTCCAGCACCCTGGAGGAAACTTTCCCAGGGACACCTAGTAGTGTGACACCCCAATAATTGGAACACACCCTGTGGTCCCTCTTTTTAAAAATGGGAGCCACCATCCCATCACTTCACAGGCACCATTCCCAATGACCACACCACACCGAAGAGATGTGCCAGCTAAGACATGTCAACAGTGTCCATAGCATTTAGCATCTTAAAGCCAATCTCGTCCACACCTGGTGCATGCCACCGAGGAGCTTCTTGACTATCTCGGCTACCTTGCTTCTGCTCCCGCCACTGCCTGGTGGGCATAGCACCAAACCCCAATTTCCAGCCCTGTAGATCAGCGGTCTTCAACCTTTTTTGCACCACGGACCGGTTTTAAGCAAGAAATTTTTCTACGGACCGGTCATTACGCACATAACAAATAATAATTGTTTTTTTTTCTATTGAAAAGTTTCATAAATGAATAAAATTAATTTTTGTTGCTTAACATGTTTACTTTTTCTCCTGTCTCAGTATTAAGTCTCTCCCACTTTCCAAAGCAGCTCTCCTGAGACGTTTGTTTTTGACTGACGGCTTCGTTTAGCAGCCGGGCATAAAAACTGACAGTCAAGTGCGGGGAACGAGCACAAACAGAAGTGACGGGAAGACAAGCTAGTCATTTTTCAAAATAAAACACCCTGCAGACTCTGCTGGAAATAGAAATAAACCAATAAAATGTTTTTAGTCTATCTGTGCGGCCCGGTACCAAATGACCCACGGCCCTGTACCGGTCCGCGGCCCGGTGATTGGGGACCGCTGCTGTAGATGGTGGACCCAATGGGCATCAGGTGGTGTCATGGCTATAAAGTCAAGACAGACAGTGACCACAGGGTAGCAGCTTGGGAATGGCTCTAAAGTGACTGCTGGTTAAAAAAAATGCATGAATCCTGAGAGTGCATGAAGATTCATGAAGTTTGTTCATGCTGCCAACATTTGATCTGCTTTGGCTGTGTCTGAGACATTTTTAAGTTTGCAAAAGCAGCTGTAGAAAATGAATCTGGGCAAATGTAAGGCTGATGGAGGCTGAAGAAGAGGGCAATGATGGGGCATCAGTATGCAAATTTTAAGCTTGGTGACTGTTGGTTACCCAGCTTCTATGTAGAAAGCAGATGAAATTGTTTTTGGCTTGTAAAGCCCAGACCTTGTCCAGATGAGGAAAGACTAGAGAAATAGCAGTAGCAGTGACTTCATTTAATCACAGATTTTATTTTACTCCTCCAAGTTTTTAAAACACACAAAATACAGTAAAAACACATTCCCATGATATGGGACCTTTAATGTTTTTGTCTTTGATAAAGTAACACTGATGGGGCCATGAATCTTCCCATTTGTGGTGAAATGTCCACCTTTGTTTTTGTCCCATTCTTTCTCCCAATTTTCAGGGGTATAACAGGACTAGTGGACACTACGGAACTGGGCACGAACATAGTGGAAGATTATACCAAGTCATGGGCATGGATACTTATGTAATTACACAAACAACACATACATAGGAGATTAGCATATGTATAAAACATCTAATTTTGTGTCAAAGATATTATCCCTGCTTTACAAGTAATGTTCATCAGCACTTGTCTGCAACTAACCTAGAACAAGTAACAGCAGCAGTCTGCTAGTCATATTTAAAATATGTCAAATTTTACAGCAATCTTTGAGATTTCACTCCTGGCTGATTATAATGTAACAACAAGTGTGGGTTATTACCACAGTGACCAACAGTAGCTGGGGCAAAACATACATACATACATACATACATACATACATACATACATACATACATACATACACACATACACACATACACACATACATGTAAAACACGTAGTTCAAAAAGCTGCAGGACAGGGTGGAAGTTGATTAGCTGAGGAGGTTTTTCTGATGTCCGTGAGGTCAAATTGTGCTGGACACGATGAACTGTTTTTCCATGAATCCATTGAACATTTGAAGTCAATCTGAATTCAGTGCAGCAAATTCAGATTGAAGTCAATCTGACAAACACGACCAGACAAACAGAATTTAAAACATCATCAGGTTATTTCAGGAAAAAATGTGACCTATGTTTGGAAACTTTGGACAGATTCACTGACTTTATTACTCCATGTTTTAGCATTAACATTAACTTGTAGCATTTGCCTCAGCAAAAGTTGATCTTTTTTAAAAAAGAAAGAAAAAAAAGCATTATATTGCTGCACTTTTCTTTTTTCTTTTTTTCCCCTTTTTTTTTTTAAACTGTACTTTTTTGTATACTTTGACAGAGGTCTGTTAATATCTTTGGCTGTTAGTCTGGTCTACATCCTGCTGCTAAGGTTTACAGCTGGGTTGCTGTTGTGGACCACCATCATGATCGCCATACTGCTTCTGGTATATGGTGGGTACTAAGGACTTTATCATGTTTTAAAAGGAATTTTTATTGAACATGATGATTCTAATGTAGGGAGGCACTTCCACAGCCTCTGCTGTCAGATATACAGTCACGAAAAAAATTATTAAACCACCCTTGTTTTCTTCAATTTCTTGTTCATTTTAATGTCTGATACCACTAAAGATATATTACCTGAAGAATGCAATAAACACAACAAAAATGCAGCTGATTACATAATACTTTATGTCCTATTTGACATGCTTAAGCTTAATTGTATTCCCAGGTTATATAAGAGGCCATTTCATGTCATAAGCAGCACTGCACATGCAAAGGCCTAGAGTGATTTCCCACTTACATTCAAGCCATAGCACAACTCAGAAGTTGTCAGCTCACAAATAATGCCTAAAACCAAAGAATTATTTGAAGCCACAAAGGCAGCCATCTTGGCACTGCTGGAAATTGGCATGAGTGAGAGACAGGTAGCGAAAAAACTGAAGATCTCCAAAACAAAGCCGAACATGATACTACCAAATTTCTAGCTGGGCATGGCAGGAAACGTCTTTCTACCCCATGAAATGACTGTACACTCATCTGTTCCTGTGTCAGGAATTGTCGTCAGACCTCCAGGGATCTTTAAAATGAGCGGGTACTGTCAAGAAATGTGACTTGTTTGGCAAAGACAGTTTGAAACCGACTTCCTGAAGCTTATCTGAAGTCACACAGGGCACAGAAGAAGCCTTTCATCAACGAAAGGCAGAGGAAAGCCTGTTTACTCTTTGCTGGGTTCACAAGGATTAGACTGTTGATTATTGAGCTAAGGTTCTCTTTAGTGATGAATCCAATTTTCAGTTGATGCCCACTCCAGCCAACTTACTGGTGAGGAGGAAGCCTGGAGAAGCCTACAAACCAGACTCTCTTGCCCCTACAGTAAAACATGGTAGTAGATCAGTGATGATCTGGGGTTGCTTCAGTATGTGTGGAACAGGGCAAATGCAATTGTGTGAAGGGGGAATGAATCAGGTCATGTACAGGGCTAGTCTTGAAAACAGTCTTCTTCAATCAGCTGGAAAACTCTTTCATGGCTCAAATTACTGGATTTTCAACAAGACAATGTCCCTTGCCACACGGCAAGGTCTGTTAAAGCCTGGATGGAGAACCAGAGCATTCGAACCATGCCTTGGCCTGCTCAGTCACCAGATCTAGATCCAATTGAAAATCTGTGGAAAATCATCAAACGCAAAATGGAGAACGACAAACCCAAAAACAAACTAAATTTGTTTGAATTTGTGCAACAGGAATGGGCTGCTGTGACAGCAGAACAATGTCAGAAGCTGGTGGAGAGATTGCCAAGATGCATGGCTGCAGTCATCAAAAACAGTGGTTATGCAATCAAGTACTAACTCCTGTATGTATCATGTGACTAAAACAGACAGAAAAGAAAACATGGGATGCCTAAAAGCAAAGTTTTTGGCAGTACAATGCCATAGTGATAGATAGATAGATAGATAGATAGATAGATAGATAGATAGATAGATAGATAGATAGATAGATAGATAGATATGTGTGTATATATATACACACACAAACTTAAGTGATTTTGGTTATTATCAAGAAAACCATGGAAAATGGCTAGATATCAGCTCCTAAATTAAACTCTTGTGAGCTATTTTTATTGTTATTTGTCCAAACAATTGTACCTTTAGTTGGCGTTAGCGGGCATTAAAATGAACAAGAATTTGAAGAAAACAAGGGTGGTCTAATAATTGTTTCCATGACTGTATTGTGAAATTGACAGCTGAGATCTGAAAAGAAAAGAACAACTCTCCAAACCTTCATTCAATTATGCAATGAGAAATGATCAAATAAATAATGAAAGTGACCATGTTTCTGAAATCTCTAACTTTTTTAAAGCTTCTCAATAAATATGTATGCTTGCAGGTATGTGGTACTGCTCCATGGTTTTGTCACAGCTCAGACACAGACAAGGCTCTGAGGTTGCCATTGTAGAGGTCGGCCTGCAGACAGACCTGCAGATCTATCTACAACTCAGACAGACATGGATCATATTTTGTAAGTCTGTTTTTTCAGATCTGTGGAGACTAAAAGTCACTGAATTCCTACATGTATTTTGCGAAATTGTGCTTAATTAAGATCTCTGTAATATTTAAAAGGGCTTAGTTTACCCTCTGAACCCCAAAAACCACCAGCAGGTTTGAAAGGCATGTTATCTTTTAAAACCAGAAACTGTAAAAGGTCAGGTTTTCAACTCTGCGACTGTCCTGCCCTGTGACTCATCTGTGACGTGATGTTCCGTCACAAAAATTAACCACCAATTAGTCACTTTTTTTGACATGTCTTATATAAAAATTTGACAAAAATTAACCATTTAGACTTACTTAATTGAATTTCCCTTCTGGGATAAATAAAGTATTTTTCATTCATTCATTTCATTTCATTGCTGGATTTGTAAAAAAAAAAAAAAAAAAAAGCCAAAAATTCCATGCTGTTTGGGACAGTCGTGAAGGCATTTGTGACCATCAGTCATGAGACAAGTATTCATTCATTTCAGCTGAAACTACAGGTTGTGTGTGCACAGAGCAGATAGGGGAGGAGTATGGACACAAATGAAAAACGTAAGTTTTAAAATGTCTATCGTGCATATAGTCACTTTTCTTTCAGTATTGGTAATAACTGTGGACACTTGACAGCTTGTTATATCTATTAATTTGAGTTTTTTAACTTTCATTTTTTGATTTTTTTTCATATGGCATTATAACTTTGTTATACTGCACAAAAGCAAAGGTATCTCCTGTTCTAGCAATGGTTGTGCCGTTTCCATTAAAATGACAGACTGTATACTGCAGTGAAAAATGAGACCACAGTGAGAAAAAACTTGACAGGAGCAACAAATCCCGAGAAAAGGTTTAGGGTTCAGAGGGTAAAGTTTTAAGATCCACTTTGGTGAAAATCACAGTTTTCATTCATTCATTCATTCATTCATTCATTCATTCTATATTTTACCTTGTTACCATGTCTATATGTTGATTTTACATACGAGATGACACATCATGAGCAAAATAAGCCATCAACGCCATGGATGAGTATTTTCACCTTTACAATGCAGGTTTAAAAACCTACAGACTCAATCCTCTCAACCTGCAGGGTGGGACTTTCTATATCGCACATTTTGCAGGAAGCAACAGTGTACAATTATATCTTTTAGAGCAGAAAAGGTTTATTTTATTAGGAAAAGTAGTCTAAATATATAAAAGTTTTAGGGGTTAAATCAATGACCGAAGGACTTTAAAAACTGAATTGCAACTTCACATCTCTAAGATGCTATTTTCAAGAAATTCCTTCTTCCTTTAAGGTTTATTGTTTCTTAGATGGATAGTGCACAAATGTATTGTCAGTTTGGAAATACAGTGTCGCATTTCTATCGAAGTTGTTACTGTTACACAAGAAATGACATTTTCATAGTTAACATCGTACCCTCCTAAACATTTTCATTTTAAACCAAATATTGCAAATGACTTCTCAGAGATACCCCCCAAAATACAAGTCTTGCTCAAACAATGTTTTGACATTTTTGTTTTCAACATGACTGTCAGAATAATTCTCTGTTATGATCCAATGATCTTTGTGAAAAGTATGAGAATGCTGTAAATGTTCATTGCCTCTATTTCACCTTGTTAGTGTGAGATAAGGACAAGACGTCCTTAGCGGGTAGTGAAATCACCATGCCTACACACACATTTGTGGGAGGTTGTCTTCTGTTTTCTATATATAAGAACCAATGCTTCATGCTTTTAGTTAGACACTTGTTCAGACTCTGTGCTGTACATGTTGCTCCTTGCTGCAAGAAAAACTTTGCTTTGACTTAGGAGACGAGTCAGTGTTGACTGGGAGCAGTTAGGACTCCACTGAAGAATTTTCATTCGGAGAATCTCTTTTTTTCATCTGGTCTAGTATGTCTTTGAGGTGGTCGTGCAGTGAGGTCAAGTTTTGAGTCGCATCTGGGATCCACGTGCAGCACGAGTCCCCAATTACTGCACAGGTTCCCCCTCGTTAAGCTAATAACAAATCTAATGCCATTCTATTTTGTAAAATCATCAGTCTGAGGGCTCTAAGTTCAGGAGTCAGGGCCTGAAATCCTTCATCTACCAGGGCTGTCAGGTTCTCTAAGTCAACTGCCAATCTATTGATTTCATTAGCATTGTTTACAACACCATACCATGGGAAGTATCCAGAACCAAGTCTGGCGGTGACGGAGATTCTGTCACGTTTGGTTTGTACTGACTGGACATGTGGATTATGCATTAGATCCAAATAAATTTGGATGGCAGGAATCAGATAGGCAAGGTGACAGCGCCCACACCAACCTTTAGGTAGGCAGAGGTAACTGCGTTTACCACATACCCACACCATGTTGGTAGGGCAGCCGTACCCTCCCTCATATGGTGCATAACCCGTCACATCCGTGTCCTTCAGGTTAAGGGCAGTCAAATTAATTGACTGTCAGCACAACACATTGTCATGTTGTATGTGCCATTAGTAAAGTATCTTTCTCCCTTGAACACACTCAATGTGTCATTTAATTGCACCATGGTGTGAGGATGGGGCTGGTTGGAGTGGGAAAAACATTTCTTGCCCTGAAGCAAATGGATTAGTAATTTTGCCTATTCTTGATCTTGTGTGGGCTGATATTGGCAAGTTTAATGGACCAACATTGCTCAATATATTTGTAAATGTTGATGGACAGCTTGCCTGATCTGACAATTCAGGGTAAATTTGAGGGACAGGTGGAGCAATGGGGTACTTTGTGTACTCCCGCCACAGCTCCCTCCTGTTCGTTTTGTGGCGCTGGCTGATCTGCCTGCTCCTGCTCTGCAGCTGGGCAGGGCGTCCCCTCGCCTGGCTGACAGCATTTATCTCTTCCTTGTCCTCCAACAACATTTGGTCTCTCTGTTTTTGTCTCTTTTTTTTCTTTTCTTTTTTCTCTACCTTCTTTTTGCTTATTTGCTTGTTCAAGCCATTGAATTGCTTCCTACCAGCCTTCTTTTTTCTCTTTTTCTTTTACATACTTTTTTTTTCATTTTTCTTAATCTAGTTCACCTTCAAAATTGTAATCCTTTTGCCATTTTTTAAGTGTTTTATTGATTTTCGATCAATCTGTTGCATGCATTTGGCGTCTCCTGTTGGTTTACTCCCACAACATCCCATTATATATATATATATGGTATTTTTTTCTTTTCTTATTTTATTGTTTTATTTTATTGTTTCATTTTATTGCTTTATTTTATTGTTTTGTTTTATTTGTCTCTACCCTCAACACTTCTTTAAACAGTACTGTTAGTGGTTATAGTCCTACCAGACTTCTTACAACAGCTTTAAGTCCTGTTATGACTGTCTTTATAAAATTTAACGCAGACTTATAGTCCTGTCCAACTCTGGTAGTTTTATCACTATTCCCCTAAGGAATCTAAGGAACCCAGTTCCCCTCCAGTAGCCAACCAGTTTGTATGTAATTCAATCGGGCAACTGGTCCTATCAGTGAAACCTTTGCTTCGTTGCCACCGTTAGGTATCCACAAACTCCTGCTAGTTGGTTTCACTGAGACACTACTGAATAACTACCTCAGTAACTTTGACTGTTTCTTGGAAAGAGACAAATAAAACCAGGCCTACCGTTGATTTGTGACAACTCTTAACTTGTTCTCGAAATCCCTTCACCCTCCTCCGGACAGCAGCGGCTGGCCTCTCTGAACGTCTAATTCAAAACAGAGGTCTTTCTTCCAGGAGTCCCAGACTCTCCCGTGCACGGTTTCGGCCCCAAACCTGTCCAGAGGAGGGATATTGGGATCCGGCTCGAAGGACCAAAAATGTTAGGAAAATTCTTCAGTGGAGTCCTAACTGCTCCCAGTCAACACAGACTCATCTCCTAAGTCAAAGCAAAGTTTTACTTGCAGCAAGGAGCAACATGTACAGCACAGAGTCTGAACAAGTGACTAACTGAAAGCATGAAGCATTGGTTCTTATATACAGACAACAGAAGACAACCTCCTGCAAATGTGTGTGTAGGCATAGTTATTTTACTACCCACTAAGGACGTCTTGTCCTTATCTCACACGAACAAGGTGAAATAGAGGCAATGAACATTTACAGCATTCTCATACTTTTCACAAAGATCATTGGATCATAACATAGAATTATTCTAACAATGACAAATGTATCTGTGAGGAAAGTCAAATTTATTTTTAAATATTTTAATGCGACTGTGTAATTATCATTAAAATGAATTTAACACAAAACAAAATCATCAAAGCCTTTATGAAGCACCATGTGCTATCAAAAAGCTGTTGGCCAGTCTGCATTATGTCTGAATCATGCCTTATTTGTCATTTTCAGCACCAGAAGTCTATGAGATAACTTGTTCTTCATGTTTTTTGTTGTTGTTGTTGTTGTTAATGAGCAGATTACTTTCCATTCAGATCCACATGTTTTAATTTAATTTAATTTAATTTAATTTAATTTAATTTAATTATGATAAAATATCGAGTGTTTGTGTCTTAATAAGCCAATTGTCATATGTGTGTAAAGCTTGGCTCTAAAAATATAAACAATGTAAACTTTGTGTTTTCAGTGGTGACTTTGGGAGTGATAGAAGCCTCCATTTTCCTGGTACTGATCTTCTTAAGAAGAAGGGTCCTAATGGCTATCACCTTGCTCAGAGAAGCTAGCAAGTATGAAAGCTAAAGACAGTGAAAGAAAATCACAAAACGTGAAGATATGTGAATATCTTTGAAATTATGTGAATATTTAAAAAATGTACTACATAATGTAGAATTGTTGTTTTCTTGACCTTGTGGTTTGTCCTTTTTTTTCAGAGCCATTGGTTGCATCATGTCCACACTATTCTTTCCAGTCATCACCTTTATCTTGTTGACTATATGCATCTCCTACTGGGCGTTTATAGCAGTGTATCCTTCAGAGTGGTAACAAGCAACAATAGGAAGAGTTGGAAGAAACTCAGACTTAAATTTTACACTAACTTTGGATTTCAAAACTCAGGGATTCACTTTTTAAAAATCTCATGTTTTAAATATATACATGGTAAGTCAGAAATGTACATATTATTATGTTGAAGTCATTAAAAACAGGTTTCATATTAGCAAACTATAGTTTTGGTGACTTGGCTAAAACATATAGGTTGTGGAGAAAAAAAAAAGTTTTTTCATTGGAATTTTTCAATCTCAAATCATCAAACTTTTAAAACAATTTTAGATCCAAAGCATAAAATATGTATATTACAAATAAATTTATCAATTCTTTGCAGGATATATCACATATTTTCTGAGATAAAATTTTGCAAATATTGCTCATCAACGAAATTTCAGACAGTTTTTTTTTTTTGATTGAATGATTGAAGCCCTAAAAAAAAAAAAAAAAAAAAAAAAAGAAAAGCTGATGATGCAGTAGTCACTACTACTGATATTTCTGAACTATTATGTAGTTGCATGTCGCTATAATGCAAAACAAGTCATATGGAATAATTTTTTATATGAAATACGTGATCACAAAAACGTAAAAATAAATAAATTGAAAACTTTAATTACATATTGATTTTTATAATTAATTGAGCACTAAGCTACCAAAGGGGAAAAAAAATCTTAAATGTGCCTGATGTATCTCTCTAAAGTTTCACAGGTATCATTTTAATCATGAAAAGTGTATGAGTTAAAAAGTTTGATGAAAATCCGAGATGGTCAAGCAGAAGGCCCCTGATGATTTGAGATGGAATAACCCATTGTTTTTTTTAACCAGCTCATTAGATGTCTTTAACAGGCACTGTGACACCAGATATCTAGCATCCTCAGGTGAAGCCATCTACAAAGTGATGTCTCCTGATGTGAAATGCCCTTACGTCAACTCGACGTGCAACCCTGAGGTACATTAACTGCTGTTTAATTCCATAATTCCCATCAGTTATTCTGCTCTCTGGTGTCATGACATTGTCAAATGTGATATTAAGAAATGTACATTATCTAATGTTTTAGATCTTTTGAGAGCACAAAAAGTCAAACTGTTGAGGAAGTTCTGTAGAGTATTTGTGGTGACAAAATTATACAATAGCAACTAAAAATGGTTTGTTTCTGCACATGCTATATGTATTTTAGACTCACATCTTGACTATTTATATTTTCAATTTTCTTAATACTTAAAAATTTTAAACAATGTTGTTAACCTTTCCCTGAATGTGGTGTGCTTCAGAAATATAAATGCATGAAGAATGTGAGAGGAGTATTTTAGCTTAAAAGAAAAAACTCTGGCCAACTTCTCACCTTCCCGCACCTGGTCAACTGTTGCATAATTGTGAAATGTTCAAGAAAGCGACCCCCCCAAAAAACAAGCTACAAACCCCTGGCAAGACTCAAAAACAGAAAGATCAGATTCCATATTGCAAAATTATACAAAAGGAACAGTATAATTCTGCGACAAATGTCTATGGATTAATGAAACAGAAATCATCCTCCATGAAAGTTGTAAGCAAC